TCCCTGAAGTGGTACTGCTCTAGCGTTTTAAACTGGTTTAATGTTTATGCATAGTGATTTTACAAGCAAAACTTTTATGCATAGTATTGTATAAAGAGCAGCGCATGGGCTTGATTCCCTGTCAGCTGACTTTATAGCCTCTAAAGTTTGATACCGACGGCAGAAAGGCTGCTTTTCAGAGTCCTGACAGGACTTTTAGAAAGTAATCAGTGCATTGACACAGACTTGTTTAAAAAAATTTTGGTGTGTTCTGGCAATTGTAATCTGCCCTGTCTTGCCAAATATTTCTTGCAGTGGTTTTTGGATAAGTTGATGAGTTGATGGCAAGGGAGAGCTAAGGAGCAGAATCCTCAAGTGACTTTTGAGAAAATGTCTTTGCGGTGTCTTTTTTAATTTTAAAAAATTGTAATGTATTTTTGGGGGCTGTGGTGGGTCTTGCTTGCTGCGCCGACTTTTCTCTAGTTGCAGCCACTGGGGGCTACTCTCTAGTTGTGGTGCATGGGCTTCTCATTGTGGTGACTTCGCTTGTTGTGGAGCTCAGGCTCTAGGTGTGCAGGCTTCAGTAGTTGCTGCAGCTGAGCTCAGTAGTTGTGGCTCCTGTGGTTGCACAGGCTCAATACTTGTGGCACGGGGGCTTAGTTGCTCCCTGGCATGTGGGATCTTCCCAGAGTGGGAATCAAACCCCTGTCTCCTGCATTGTCAGGTGGCTTCTTCACTACTGAGCCACCAGGGAAGTCCCCTTTGCAATGTTTTTAATGTCTAAACTGTGTCTGTTTGAAAACCAGATGGTTTTTCTTAATGTTTTAAGAATTTAGACTTCCTAGTGTAAAATGTAACTGAACTTCTCTGTAAGTAAGCTGATTTTGCAAGATTTTGAATTTAACAAATTATCTTAATTTTGCATAATCTAGTCATAGTTGGGCTATAAGAAAATGTTGCAAAACCTTTACTTACCTTGTGGAAAGAAGAGAAGGGGAACTAAAACTTAGGCTTGGCCTGGCCTGCTGTGAACCAGACATGATGCTGAGTGCTTAAATGTAATTTGGTCTTTCACAGCTCTATGAAGTAGCTATTATTCCAGCTTTACAGGTTAAGGAATTGAGGTACAGAGGGGCTAAATCCCTGCCTAAGCAAAATAGCAAATCTTGCAGTTTGGATTCAGATTCATGTATTTCTTAAAGTCCAGTTCTTTGCACAGTGGCTTGCTAGTTAAAATTCATTTAGGGGAAATGGTTGCTATACCTGTAGTGCATGGTGCAACATGAGTGATAATTACATGTTATGATCCTGAGCAAAAAAAAAAAATATGTGAAGCAAAAAAGAAATCCTTGACAATTGTTTTTTGGTGGTGTTCCAATTACCAAAAGGATCTCATAGAAGTTACAGTTCTTTATTGTTGGGTTGATTTATGAAAACCTTGAAACATTTATTGATGTAATAAAACTGTGTTTCAAAGGTTACTTGAATGTTGCAAAATTATGTTTTCATCAGATTGTAACTATCAAAGGAAAAGCTGACATAAAATAATATAGAACATTTTTATATTTGAAATGTATCCTTTTCAAGGTACATTTTTGCTGTTGCTCCTAGTGAAAGGAAAATCTCTCTGTAAAAGGAGGAAAAAAAGACTTAAATTTTTTTAGTTTATACTAAAATATACAGCAATATTGCTTTTTAATTCTTCTAATATCTATCCTATGTACTTATTGTAGATGGTATACATTCTTTTAAATTATAGCATCTATGTAGGCTTCCCCAGTGGCTCAGATGGTAAAGAATCCACTTGCAATGAGGGAGACCAGGGTTCCATCCCAGGGTTGGGAAGATCCCCTGGAGGAGGAAATGGCAACCCACTCCAGTATTCTTGTCTGGAGAATCCCATGGACAGAGAAGCCTGAGGGCTTCAGTCCATGGGGTTATACAAGGAGTGGGACACAACTGAGTGACTAAGCATACATGATCCTGAGGATTTGTTGTCCATGTGCTCCATGACAAGTTGATTCTTTGAGAGGGTGTCATGACTACCTAAATAATAAAAAGGTGGCTTTGCTATGCCAGTCATTGTTCTAAGCACTTGACATATATTAATTCACATCATCCTCATAATTCCATGGTTTGTGCTATTATCCCCATTTTACAGTTTCTTTTTTTAAGCACAGAGAAGTAAGTTGTCCAGAGTCACACAGCTAGTAAGTGGAGGAGCTGGGACCCACACCCTGTATTCTGGTCCAAACTCTAAGGTCTTAATGCTATTTGATGTCGCCTCTCCTGTAACTATCCAGCATGTGACAACTGCTTTAAAAGTGTTGCAGTGTGAGTGTTCTGGTACTTCTGGGAAAGCAGTTTTACTTCCAGATGGTGTGACATTGCACCCTTGCTTTGTGGAGCTTGGAAGTTGAAGGAAGCCCTGAAGTTTTGAGGTGGTTCTCCTCTGTGGAGTGGTCTCGTGGAGTGCAGGGTATCGGGGGCAGAGGGCATGGCAAGTGCAGAGGTTCAAAGAATGCCAGGTCAGCATTGATTTGTCCGTATCCTAGAGACAGAGGTGCTGGGTGGGTGTCTACTGGGTGACTCCATGTACGCCGCCTCTGTGTTTACAGCAGGGTTTTAGCAGCATTGTAATTAAGCCAGGGGTGGGGGGTGGGGGGACTGTCTGACTGTTACAGCCTCTAACAGTGGTTGGCAAACTCTGTTTATAAAAGGTCAGATTGTAAGTATCTTAGTTTTAGAGCAAGGGGACAAGTGATAAGAGGTGATGTCTGAGCGGTGTGGAGAGACCTGACTGGAAAGACCTTGTAGGCCAGCATAGGAGTTTTGGATTTTATTTTGTTCTTGACTGAGAAGGGATTCCAGGTGATAACTGAAGCCTGACTGCACCATGTACTAACTATGAGACCTGGGTAAATTATTAAAAGTTCTTTGCCTCAGTTTTCTCTTAAGGAAAATGGGGATGATAATAGAGCCTGTCCTGTGGGGTTGTCAGGAATACTAAATGAATTAACACACATCAAGTGCTTAGAACATTGCCTGGCACAGAATAAGCAGTAAAATCTGTTAGATGGTATTATCTGTACTTTGTGGTATGGTCCAAATGTTCTATAGTGAAACTGTATTTAATGAAAAATTATATATTCAAATCTATAAAACAAAGTTGTTGAAATACTCCCTAGAGCTGGGGTCCCCAATCCCTGGGCTACAGACTGGTGCTGGTCTGTGGCATGGCTGCATGGAGGTGGTGAGCAGCAGGCTAGGGAGAAGGCTTCATCTGTATTTACAGTTGCTCCCATCACTTACATCCCCCTACCCCAATCCATGGAAAATGTGTCTCCCACAAAACCCCTCCCTGCTGCCAAAAAGGTTGGGGACTGCTGTCCTAGAGTGGAAACTTTAACTCACTATTCTCATTCTTTGTGCATTTGAGCAGATCCTGCTCTGCAGTGTCTTTTTTAAGAGCAAGACTTGAGGAGTGATTTTTGAATATCTGTGACTTGGAACTAGGTAAATAAATCATAGCCTATTTGCAAGATGGGGAATTGAGACATTGTTGAAGTGACTATGGTATATCTAAAGGTACTGATTTAGAAAGACATCTTTTACTTTTGTCTCTTTTTGAACTCGTACATTGTATTCTTTTCTGCATCTGGGTTTTACTCATCATGGTGGTTGTGAGATTTCTGAGATTTATCCTTGTTGTGTGTATCAATAGTTGGTTTATTCTCACTGCTGTGAGAGTTGGTTTATTCTCAGTGCCGTGTAGTCTTCCTTTGTATGAAACCCCAGTTCTTTTTTTTTTTTGTAAGTATTCATGACTTGTATTAGTTATATAATCAGAAAAAATAGTCTAAAAAAAGTAAAATTTGGTTGAAGTTACAGCTCAAACTGAAGGTATCTAATAACCTGAATCTACTTTACATTAGTAGACTGCATTTATCTAACTTGAGGGGGCTTCCCAGGTGGCTCAGTGATAAAGAATGTGCCTGCCAAGTAGAAGACACAGGTTTGATCCCCGGGTCAGGAAGATCCCCTGGAGAAGGAAATGGCAACCCACTCTAGTATTCTTGCCCTGGCAGGCTCCTCTGTCCATGGGATCGCAAAAAAGTAGGATGTGACTTAGCAACTAAACAAAAACAATCTAACTGGGGAGTTACTTTTCCCTTCATTCTGCCTCTCATTACTGCTCAGGATCGATAAAAGGGCATTAGCTCTCTTATGAACACCCCTCCCAGTGTTCAAATCTGCTACAAAATATGATATGATAGCATTATACTCAATATCCTTTTCTGATTGCTAAGAAGAATGACTCAACCATAACTGAGCCTATATAATTCTAGAAGAGATGTTGACCTATTTTTCACATGCAGTTATTTAGGTTTTATACAAAATTTAACTACGGAAGCAATCATAATCTTAGCGCTGAAATTACCTTAGATGTAATTTTGCCCACTTTTCACCTGGCAGGGGAGGATCTGATGTCTTTAGTGGTCTGCCCAGGCCACACCTTGGTGGAGGCCCAAGCTGGACTCTCCTGACTTAAATTTGGAGGCCTGCAGCCTCCCTGAGTAAAAACCCTCTGAACTCCTTGACAAAAACACTTAGAACTCATACTCTGTTGTTCATTTGTTTCCAGCACTTACTCTGTAGCCTTTAGGTTGTAAAGCATTCACTTTACAATTTGGAATTGTGTTTGATCTGGATTCTTATTCCTACATGTGAACAGTAAAGCCCTTCAATTTTTAAGTTTATCCTAAATCACAAATGAAAGAATTCTCATTTTGTTGCTCTCTAAAATTCAACCAGGACTCCAATTCAACTTGAGTTGGCATTCTGAGAATATACCTATGTTAAGTTTACTAAGGCAATAAGTGTGTGAAGTAACTTTTTTATGCATTGCTTTTCAGGAGTAAGCTTTACCAGTCCTAGACGTTCAAGCATTTTCACAAATAAATCCTCCAGCAAGTTTAAAAATAATTAGGAAGTGGAGTTGCTCTGGTTGCACAAAAAAGATGTCAAGTGGATCTAGTGAAGTTGATGTGGTTTGTATTTCAAGTTGAAAATCTGCTTTTGTTCATTTTATTGTGTTCTGTTTCTTTTCCAACTTGAGTTTAATTTCATACAGTAAAGTGCAGAGATTGTAAATGTACAGTTCATGAGTTCCAGACAGTGATGTTTAAAGTATTTAAATGATGAGCATATGTGTACAAGTTTTAAAATTTTAACTATCTACCAAGATTCATTTTTTCTGACTCTTTTCACATAATTATATGAAAGCATTTTGAAAAGTATAAGGCCCTGTATACAAAGGTAACATGGGGTCTGTCTGTCTATCTATCTATCTATCTATCTATACAGTTAAGTACTAATCTATAACCCAACCCCACATTATCTTGTTTATGGCTTTTGAAACAGACATATGTACTTTTAAATGGTTAAAATTATTCCTGTAGCTCATAATCCATTCTTAGAATACACTCTTAGAACATCATGGTTGTTTACTTATCTATTTACTTATGTATGCCCTATCTCCTTCTCCCCAAAATGTTTTAGGTGATTTAGAGATTAACTTCTCAAGAAGAATAGGTGTGGGGAATTCCCTGGCAGTCCAGTGGTTAGGACTCTTGAGATCTCACTCATAGCCCAGAGTCCACATTCAATCTCTGGTCTGGGAACTAAGATCCCGCAAGCCTCGCAGTGCAGGGGAAGAAAAAAAAGAATATATGCTCAAGTGTTTCTTATTTTGTCCACAGAGTGGCACTGTTGGATTATTTTAAAAAATCAAAAGTCACAAAGAGGATTCTTTGTAGTTGCTTTTAGAAAACTTACTTATTTTATAGCAGTTCTGGTGCCAAATTACTAGAAGACTAGACTTTCTACCTTAAGGTACACAGGAGGAAAATGATGTCTTATGTGTGGTTGTGATAATGTGAAGTTTTGAAAGTGCATCTTTTCCTGTAGTCATAGTATTGAAAATAGACAAAGGTCCTTTGATATCACCAGTTGACTTTTGGAGCCTCTTGGAAGTGAAGTAAGTCTTCAATTTTTCTTAAAGTTCTATCATCATTCCTTTTAATTTATTAATAAATCTTCCTTAGATAAGAACATGAATCCCTGCTTATGATGATGATAACATTGTTCTTTATGCATATGAACCAAATACTGCATATTTCAGTAATGTAAGTAATGTTAATTGCCATTTGCCAAATACATTAACATTTAACCACTTTAAAGGAAAAGATTTCAATTCTTCATAAACTATAGATTTCCTCTACACTCACTCAAAAAATACTAGTCTCAAATTTGTCCACTTCCTTTCATTAAACAGTGAGCAAAATCATTTCACTTCCTTTTTTCCTTGTAGGAAAGTCAGAGCAGTTTTTACTTATTTTTCAGTGTAAAACTAAACCTAAGTCCCTGCGACATTATGAATTCTTTCCTTACTCCCTCTCTTAATCAGCAGTGAGTATTTTCATTCTCATATTAACATGGTTTTTTTTTGTCTCTGGTTTAGATTAAGACCTCTGAAACTCTTTGAAAAGTTGGTTTAAAATAATAAGTTAATATTATTCTTTCCTCTCATTGTTCATCTGAATTTCACAAAATTATTAACTGTTCAATTTTTAAACTATTAGCAGGAAACTGCTGCATCTGACACATCTTACAATGAAGAACAACAAGGAACAATTCAGGAGATCCTTATTCATTGCCAGGTACAAAAAGTTCTGTCTGTCTCAAATGCAGTTTTCTAAAATACTAAACTAAAATTCTCTTTATCTCACATACAGTATATAATTGAAATTATGCTGTTTTGAATTATTTATGATTATCACTCTCATTATGCTCTTTTAACAGTTTTCTTCTGTGAAAGTTTCAAAATAGCAGTGTGTAGGTTTTATAGCCTTTTGTAAAAACCCTTAATTGATCAAGTGTAGTTATAGCTCTTTCATCTAAACTGTTCGATACTGAATTAATTTCCCCTACAAATTCTTTAAAGGAAGTTGGCTGATATAGATAAAATTTAGTATGTACCTAAACGTATGTCAGGATATTTCAATTGAAATGAAATGACAGCCCACTGTTTATTAATTAATTTATTAATTAATTAATTTATTAATCCCCTCACATAGTTTTGAGGGGATTTTTTTTTAAAAATTGACATGTTGGTGGAGACTGGTAGAGGTAGCTAACTATCAAGGATTTTGTGAGCTGCATACCCTAGCAATAATGAACATTTATAAGAAGTAAATGTTTCTTAACATATAAAATTCCTGTGATACAATGAACTAACATACTTTGAAAAGTAAGAAGTGTCTATGAGAGTCTTTATCATGCCTTTATCATGAGAACAGTGGAACACTTAAAGGGGACTTGTGGTGTCTTCTGGGAAAGGATGTACAGAGAGCGGGAACGTGGGGGCCAAGTAGGGAGTTCTGATTTTGAGCAGCAGCAACTCAGCCTGCTTTACATCAGCATCCACAAGGTTGATGAATGAGGTTGACGCGGCTCTGCCAGGACCTTCTGAACGATTGTGCAAGATGTGGTGGGATGGAGCATCTCCCATAAGACATGCCCAGGTTTCAGAGTCACAGCCCTGAAGTGGGCCCTGGGGGATCCTCTCCATTTCTCCTCTTGTGCTGGCTCCCTCCTGTCTTCGGCACCTTCCCTTCCCAGTCTAGGCCACATGGGGCAAGCACTTCCACCTGTTCTTTTTTATCCTTCCCAGCGTCCCCTTTAGTAAAACCCCAGCCCTGTCCAGCCAGGCTGGGAAGCAGAGGGGAGGACCTCTGCTGGGGACTGGTGACCCTCAGACAACCTCAATCCTTCTCGGTTATTTCATGGAGAAAATGGGGAAGCGTGGAGCAGAAATCCCCCCCCCCAAGTCCCGATTCTTCTCACAGCCCACAAACCTGCCTAGTTCCATCTCTGTCAACCTCCTTCCTGACTGCTGGAGTGGGAAAAGGGTTCCCCCTGTAAGGCTAACACTAACACCTCCTCTGGTTTCTGCATCTGATCCTCTTTCCCTGTGTTCAGACACCTCCGTTCTTCCATCACCCCCCTCTCTCCCGGATCTTCAGCCTCTGTCTCTCTCAGCATACTCATTCTCCCACTGTTATTTATTAAAATCACTTCTTTTGGCCTCCTATCCCTCTCTCCTTTCCTTCATAACCCAGCACTTTGAATGTCATTTATGTTCACTCTGTAAACATTTGACTTCCTGTTTGGGTATTTGGGGGGTTTGTTTTTTATTGAAGTAGAGCTGATTTATAATATTGTGTTAGTTCCAGGTGTAGAGCATAAATTTGGGGTGTAATTCCCTGTGCTCTACAGTAAATCCTTATTTCTTATCTATTTTATGTATAGTAGTTAATATCAGTTAATGTCATGCTCCTAATTTGTTGGGTATTTTTTAATATACTTTTCCTTCTGCCCTGTATATTTTTGCATGCATTTCTACCTGGTGGACACTTTCTCATCTTTTCACTCTTAACACAGATAACACCCACGACTGCCCACCTAGATTAGGTCTTGCCCTTCTGTGCACACTTAGCTTCTTATTCTTATCTGTATTATGGCCATAATATTAATAACGCTTGAACACTACTGGACTAGCCATTGTGCAGTATTATTATTATGTTAGTAGTGATACTATAGCACATTGCTTTGTCCTTAAGAGAACTAAGAGATATTTTCATCCTGATTCTATTAATAAGGAAATTGAATAGCAGAGAAGTAACTTGAACCCCACTGTGTTCCCCTCAAGCCTGTGCTGAGAGCCAGCAGGTCTCACACTTGATCAGGTCAGAATCACCTAGAGGGCTTGTGAAAACAGGTCGCTGCTCTTGCTCTCAGACTTCCCAATTCAGTAGATCTGGGGTGGGAGATGTAGCATTTCCAACAAGCTAGTAGATGGTGCTGTTGCCTCTGGCACTGAAATCAATTGCCCCTCGCTGCTAATCACTCTATTTACCTTGTCTCTTTACTTGTCTCTCTCCAGCTAAAATGGGAGTTCCTTAGGGCAGGAGCTGGTTCTGTTCTTTTTTTTTTTTTTTTTTTTAATGTCCACATTCCCAGCATCTAGCAAAGCAGCCTGGCAGGTGGTAAGCTCTCAATAAATGTTTAGTTGAATGAATGATGTAATGGTTCTGGCCTTTTTATTTAAGTGTATTTTTGCCCAAATGAAATTTCTATGTATTTCAAGAATTCTCAGGTTTTATCAATCACATACCCGATTGGCATACAGGGGCTGTGTACTCAAACATTTTATAAAGTTAATTGTTAATTGCATGACTTTAATCTGGGGACTTCCCTGGGGGTTCAGTGGTTGATTCTACACTTCCAGTGCAGGGTTCAATCCCTGGCCAGGGAACTAGGATCTCACATGCCACATGGCCAAAAATAAATAAATAAAATATGCTGATGCCAAAGGTCACATCTGTTGTATTTGGTTCACTGTTCCTTCCAGAGTGGACCCTTCACTGCCTATTAGTTTATACCATCATTATGGGAAGAGGCTCTTTTGCCTTTTAGCATATTTTAAAATTTCTTTCCTAAACTATCACCTTCCTTGATGTAAAATGACTCCAGCATAAATGTGATGGCTTATAGGAATTGTGGAACATTTACTTTCCAGTATTCAAGCTTCTTCAGATGCCTGTATGATATGCAGTAGTTGAGTAGGAGGTTGGGGCGCTTTAATCTCAGCCAGCTCGGCCCTGGGTCACCAACAACCAGGCATTAAGTGGGAAATAAGAAATTTCTGATGGCTTGAGAATTTTCTTTGTTTCTGGCAGTCAAAGGTTGGCTTAATGGTATTTTTTATGTTACTTTTCTTTTGAAGTAGAAATTAGTAACAGTTTGTACTATAATAGGCCATCTATGATGCTATTCAAGACCTGGATAAGAAGTTTGATGTTATTCATGGAAAGGTTTCAAAAATTCACCGTTACCGTTGCTGTATGAAGTCAATGTGGCAAAGCCGTGTAAGTGTTACAAAAATATTTTCACAGCTATAATAAATAAACCTCTGGGCTCTAAAGATGTCAATTAGAAGTGAGAGAGAACTAATAACTCTTAAAGAGGAATAAGGCTGATCTGTACTTGCTATAGCAGCAGATGGGAGACTAAACCTCTGCTGGAAAAATGCTGATGTTTAGGTTTGAGATATGTATGACAATGGGTATTTTTACATTTGTAACCATAATATATAAAATGTGATTCAAATGTAGGGGTGAAGAGAAATAGAGCACTTATCTTTCATAATATAAAGCAATCTTCCATAGAAAGTAACTATCAATGTATTTACTATATATGCCTTTTTTCTTTTACTCACAGTTAATTTGTGCTGGGTTTGTGTCATTTCAGAAACTACATGGACATAGATATAAAAATTATAATTACCAGCCTTATAGAAAGAGCAAAAGCCTGAAAAGGAAGAGAAGGGACCTTAACTCTTCATTATCTCTCACTGAAAGTTATAGCCCCACTATACCAGTAAGCAGGGAGGATAATGATTCCCAGAGCAACACTTTGGGAATATCTATCGAGTCCCAGAAGTCCCCAGAGCGGGAGCAGGAGCCATTCATCCAGGATCAGGAGCCAGATCGCAACGAGAGCCCAGGGATCCCTGCCATCTTCACACAACCCTATGAGCCACACGAATACATGCAGGAGGAATCCATGCAGGTCCCTTCTTACTACGACAGCCCACAGGCCCGCAGCACCACCAATTTCTTCCCACCAAACCAAGCCACTGTAATTCCAACTGCAACCATACTGACCCAGATGGAACCTGAACCAATACCTAACCCTGATGTTGTGACCTATCCACCTTTATTTGATCCCCAGCCCTCCATGCATAATAGCTCACCTCCCTGCACGTCGGACACTTATGGTGAGTATGAACTGACACCTGTTACAGGTAGCATTATTTACCCTATAGTCCTCAGCACTTGGATGCAAATTTGTGGAAGCTGTTTGTTTCTCATCTTGAGTACTAGTTTGGGGTGATACTCTTAACGCTGACTAACACTTCTTGAGTGTCTCTAATGTGCCCGCACTATGCCAGTCAACTGACACTGCCTCTACACTAATACTCATAATGATCACACTGTGAGCTTTTTCATCTTGTTTTTCTTTACCCTTTCCCTGTGTAAACAATCACATGTTCCTAAAATGGCTAGAGCCAAGATGACAGAAAAGGAAAGGCACACTTTAGGTTAATTCACACAGAGGTCAAGCTTGTGTTGGAATCTTTGGTTAGAGAAATAAATCTTCCTAGTGAATTACAAAACCCACTTCCATTACAGCACACTAACTTTAAGAAGTCGAGCACTCTGGTTGAATAACTGAGTACTTGTCTGGACACAAAGAAATTTGAGTACAACTTAGTTTATGGCATGGGCTTCCCTGGTGGCACAGGCAATAAAGAGTCTGCCTGCAATGCAGGAGACCGGGGTTGCATCCCTGGGTCGGGAAGCTCCCCTGGAGAAGAGAATGGCAATCCACTCCAGTATTCTTGCCTGGAGAATCCCATGGAGCCTGGTGGGTCACAGTCTGTGAGGTCACAAAGAGTTGGACATGACTGAGCAACTAACACTCTCTATTTTATAGCATAGCTAAAACTTCTTGAGGTATGAGCACTTATATTATTTCATGTCTTAGTTAGTTACTTTTAAAATATAAACCTCCAGCCAAATATCTATTACTATGCAATGAAACTTGAAAGAGATTATTCAGTGTAATGTTAAAGTTACTTTTGACCTAGCTAAGCACAAAATAATCTTGTTTTCTGCAAAATTCAGATAAGCATTTAAGCCTTGAGAGACGGGAATTTTAAAGCCATGGTAGAGGGTTGGTAAGAGAACTCATGTGGTTCTCAAAGATAATGGAAGTTATTGAAATTCATTAATTAAAATAAATAAATTTAAGCAACTTTAGAACTATAAATTCTGGAAATTTCCCACTGAAATTAGCTAGTAAAATAAACCTCATCTGGAGAGACCAAGAGGACAGAAATTGAGAGAAATTCATTGAAATTCTTGAAGAGAGCAGTAGCTTGGCTTAGATTAACTTAATTCAACCTAAGTTACAGGTCTTTTTGCTATATTTGCCTGTGGCCAAACAGGCCTTGGGTTGCTCAGTCTGTTTTATGATCTTTGAAACTCTAAGTTACCTTCTGAAGTTGCTTTTGTTGTTTGGGGGAGGTCATGTGGGACAGCAACCCACTCTGGTACTCTTGCCTGGAGAATCCCATGGATGGAGGAGCGTGGTAGGCTCTAGTCCATGGGGTCGCAAAGAGTCGGACACAACTAAGCAACTTCACTTACTCACTCACATGGGACATTCTTGGGTAGCTAGCCTAAGATTATCTTTAGTCTTTCATTACATTTTACCTTGAAGTTCTGGGTCCATGCTGGGGTACTTCACAGAATGTTCCAGGAATGATACAATTACTCCCTACTTAACATCTCTTCTTTCAAGATAATATCAGGTCAAGTATTATTTGTCTTTTTCCCCTCTTTGAAGCTCCAACTTCACCAGTTAGAAATCGCCTGAATTTCTTCGGAGAAAACTTCCCTGAGGACCCCTCAACCTGGTCCGTGGATGAAGTGATCACGTTTCTGCAAGATGTAGATCCTCTGACACTCGAGCCCCTGGTTGACCTCTTCAGGGAACATGTAATGTATCTTTTGATCTGGTTTTTCTGCCTTAATGACTTTGAATTATCTCTTTGCAGACCCTTCAGTTGGTTACTGTTTAGTATAGATGGTGGGGGAATCCTATCAACTGATTTTTCCATATTTGAGAGAGTTCACTTTGCCCAAAGTCAGATCCTTAAAGGGTAGAGGGTGGATTTGTGCTTAAATGGTTACCCAAGTACCTAACATACTACACGTCTTCAAGTTCTCGAGAGAAGATGATTCAGCATGGCCACTCTCAGATGTCTTCTCCTTTGTAAGACCAGCTACAAAGATCCTCCTCCCCACCTGCTCCCTGCTTGGCCCTGGGATTGTGAGTAGGAGGGAGTGACCACTGTTGTAATACATTGTCCTCCTTGTTATGATTCCCAATGAACCCAGTAACTGATTCCCTTTGGCTCTGTTCTGTTGACCTTACATGATTACTGACGATTTGGGATGCTGATACTCTCATGCCATTTACAAAGTAACATCATGGGCTAAATTTTTTAAGTTCTAATTTCTTTAGAAATTATAGAAATAAATATATAGAAATAAATTAGAAATTAATTTCTTTAATTTCTACTTTTACTTACTACAAAATGTATAGAAGGTACCTGACAAAAGCAGTACTGTGAAGGACTTCAGGTCCCTTCAGCCAGTGATAAATGATTCAGCAGTTTTATTTTTAAACTAGATCTCATAAAAACCAAATAATATGCTTCAGCAGCATCACTTGGCCAATTAATTCTTTTTTACACTAGGAGGATGACTTGTGACTATCAAGTAATATTTTTGTAGTTTCCTACTGAATAAAATTAGTGCCCACATATCTGATGTACCATTTTCAATATGGTAAGAAAATCAGTCATTAGTTTTTAGCATCTAATTAGCTTCAGACAACTAACTGATTACCTTCCAGTGTTAAGACAGCACTGTATAGCACACTAATAGCTGAGATACTCATGTTCCAGCCCTTCTAAGAAAGTCAATGACCGTCTGAAATTCATTTTTATGATTCATTAAGTTTTTACTCCTTTTGTCATAGTTATGCAGTATTTTGTTTAACACAAGGTATTTAAAATTAGGTAGCTTGACGCTTAGGACATTTTTAAGATATTAAATTAAATTTCCTTTTGCTCAAAATTTGAAGCAAATTTACAAGTGATTAAGTGATGCTTCACTGTACAAATTAGATTTTTGATAGTTTCCATCAGTCAGTTGCAGATTCAGAGAATATATAGCTGGAATGAGCTGCTGTCTAATTGTGTTACATGTTCTTATATAGAAAGGAGAAACTATTCTGATTCAATATGAATGCTTTATTAATTATTTTAATTTCCTTTGCTCTGTAGGGCATTGATGGGAAAGCTCTGCTACTGCTCCAGAGTGACATGATGATAAAGTACATGGGGCTTAAGCTGGGGGCAGCCTTGAAGGTGTGCCACTACGTCGAAAGGCTTAAAGAAGGAAGATACATCTACAATTTATAAACCACGTATAGGTTAGACTGGACTTAATTCTGGGAAGACTAGTGCTGTCTTTGCTCTGCCGTTAGAAGTTTTTGTTGCATAGAAGGTTCCTTTAAGATATGGTGTATCCAAAATAGCAGAACCGAGGATAGTCCAGTCTATTTCTTTAGAAGTCATTTAATGTACTAGTGCTAGCATAGTCAAACTGGTTGTTTGTTCTTATCTTTTCATTATTTTCATTGTATAGTTTACAGATATACTTCATGCAGGAAACAGAAATACCTTTTGATTTTGGTTAATGTTTATATGTAAAACCAAAACAGTCAAATCCCAAAGGGCAAAATATCAGGCACTGACAAGCTTTCTAAAGAAACCCATATGACATTTTCCTTAGAAGAAAATTTAAAGTTGCAATTCTAGGTATCCTGTTTTTCTCAAATACTTTATGTCTGTTACTGCAATGTTCTGTTTGTATTCTACTGGTTTCCCAAAAGGGAATAGCCACATAAATTATTTTCCTTTATGTTATTATTTCACTGTATGTTTTATCTGTCCCTACTAGAAGGAAAAAAACAGCCTTTTAAGATTTCATGAGGCGTTCTTAACAGTTTTTAAAAAAATTATCACATAGTCATTTCATGCAAGAGATACTACACTACAAGGGTGGTTTGGATTGAGTCTGACTATATTCTTTTCAACTAATACATGTTATTTTACAACTTCCATATTTTGTCTAAACTTGGACATTTAACTAGGCATTCATTGCTCACATCTCTCCATGAAGATGCCTATGTCTGAGTTTTTTAAAGATGTGTTTTATTGTCTCTTCATTCCTCATATGGATACTGTTTTTGTATTTATATTTTATTCTGTACGTGAAGTATACACATAATTAAATTCTTTTTTAATTTAAAATGGCATTTTACACTTCCACTGAGCTAAAGACCATCTCTATATATAATGAGTTTTTTAATTCTTTAAAACACATGCAAAGTGTTTGCTATCACTGGTACCTCTCAGCTCACACTTCAGGGTTTCCGTACAGGGAAGTTCTATCTTGTGCAATGTTTCTAGTTAATTTCCTTTCTGAGCCATTTATCTTTATAAACTTTAGACAAGTACATTAATTCTGATTTGAACTTTACTTTAAAAATTAGAACCTTCATGTGAAACATTCATTGTTATTTTATTTATTACATCATATGTTGTATAATATTCAGTGTAATGTTAATAAGCTATGAGAAATGGTGCTGATTTTATTAGCCATTTGTTATAAATGCCAATAAGATGTTCACCAGGGCTAAGAATATACATTATCTTTTTAGAAAACCAAGTGTACCTTATAAGCAAATATAACTACTTACTGGGCATATATGATTTAAAGGACATTTTCATCTGTGTTATTCCTTTTGTGTTAGAAGATTCAGATTTCAACTTGGTCTTCTTTCAAACTGTTTATGTGAAGATGCTGTGCCCACTTGAACAGTCCTCAGGTGTTTGTATAAGCACTATGTTTTACAGTGTTTAAATATAATAAAGTTTAATAAAGCTATTAATGTCAAAGCCTCAGATTTGATTTTACTTGCTTAAAGAGTTAAAGCCAGCAGTGATGCATGTCATGAATCGTTATGCTTTGTGACAGCCTCACTAGAGAATTCTCTTTCCATCCTGAATATCAAGGCAAAAGTATGGCTAACACAATAACTTTCATAAATACAGACTTTCTAGTTCAAATTTCATATCCACTGAAACAAATTTTTCTCTCTAAAATTACTCTCATCTTCATGAAACATAGTCAAATCAAGACTAAATTTGTAAACGGAATGGTCAGCTCATCAGTTGACCACATAGGCTCCTCCAAAGTGGCTGTGGTGGAAATCCTCAGGATTCATCTCAGAACAAATTCCCAAAAGGCCTCTCAAGGCCAGGAAAGACATACCAAAGGTTTGCCATCAGGCTGCGCTTCAGTGGATTTCACTCTTCTACAGAATCCCTAAAACGTGATTCCTGCACATGCCAGCAGGAATCCCATTCACCTGCTACAGCTGCTCAGCACCCACGAGTTTCCAATGTCTGGAGGGACCAGGCAGAGAGACGGAAAATGTTTCAATCCTACCCACAGGTGTAGTTTACCAAAGTGCTTTAAGTCACAAATAATTTGAGGGGAAGGGCGTCCCTATATCTGGGAAACAGATCAAAACCAGTAATATTATAGGCAAAAACCATAAAAATTATGACCATATTCACCACTTCACACAGTAACTATTTGTTAACTTTTTATGAAGGCTCAAGTTTTCCATTAGAATTTTTTACTATCTTACCCAGTTCAGCTGTATGATCTGAAACTTATCAGAGACCTGCATTTGTCAAAAAGGTCTTCCTATGTATATCATCTTGAAGCATTTTTGCAAAAGCATCAGAGTAAAATAACTGCCTATAAATAACAAAAGACACCTGATTATAATGTAATCGCTAAAGAAACTTGGTTATGATAACTAGAATTATAACCAATGATAATCTTAACCCTTGAAACGTTAATCACTGGCGAAAATCAAGAAGCAAGTAACTGTGAACTGTTCATCATACCAACATTTACTGATTGGAAAACTTATGGTCTCATCTTCCTCCAAGAAAGCAAAGGTACATAAACTTAGACCCACCCAGCAATTAATGTTCCACTACTTTATCCTATTCGAAATGATGCAGGTAATGAATAAATTCTCTTCATTTAACTTGGTTTAGTATCAAGTTACCAAAATCTGGAAAGACTATTTTTTAATTATTTATTTTAATTGGAGGATAATTACAATATTGTGATGGTTTTTGCCATACATCAGCATGAATCAGCCATGGGTATACATGTGTCCCCCCATTCTGAACCATATATATGCGAGCTCAAATGGTAAAGAATCTGCCTGCAATGCAGGAGACCTGGGTTTGATCCCTGGGTTGGGAAGATCCCCTGGAGAAGGGCATGGCAACCCACTCCAGTATTCCTGCCTGGAGAATTCCATGGACAGAGGAGCCCGGTGGGCTACAGTCCATGGAATTGCAGAGGTGGACATAACTGAGTGACTAACATACATACAGTATTTGTTGGAAAGACTCTTTTAGATAGACATTCCTGATAGCTTACAGTGAACGATGTCAGATTCGTGATCTCCAAAGAAAAAGATTTAGCTTCGGGACCAGGGACCAAGCTTGATCACTCAAGAGCTTTTGTATAGCAGAGTTTTATTAAAGTATAAAAGGGACAGAGAAAGCTTTTGACATGGACATCAGAAGAGATAGGAGAGTGCCCCCACTCGCTAGTCTTCTCAAGGCCTTATATACTTTTACCAGACCCACTCCTACAACATACATCTTAAATTAACAAGATTAGAACTAACTAAAAAGTCTTACCAGACCCACTCCCACATAAGATTAGTCAGAAGGTTCCTATTAAGAAGGAAAAATATGTCCTTGAGCAAGATACATTGTTGTTATATAATCATTAGTACAGAGTTTAAAGAAAAACATTGAGCAAGATGAGTTGTTTTCTGTGTAATCATTAGCTCTGGGCTTAAAGAAAGTTAGTCTTCAAGATTCTTATCATAACAACTCAGAGTTTAAGAAAAAGTTTGTCCTTTTTCTCCTCCTCAAGATTCCAGGATCCCTTTCTCCCGGAGGGCCCCAGACTCCTTATCAACCTACCTAAGAATTAACTCTCTCATTCCCAAAACATATTTACTACTATAGCATTTACCTAAAAGTTTTATCTCACTTATGTTTACTTAAACTTTCATCATATTGTTATTTTCCTTGCTGAAAATTTTTCAACAGATGTAATAAGGTGATATTTGCTCTCTAGTAAACTGAAGTACAACAGAAGTGTTCGCACTGATGGGCTTCCCTGTTGGCTCAGTGGTAAAGAATTCACCTGCCAATGGAGGAGACATGGGTTCGATCCCTGGTCTGGGAAGATTTCACATGCCATGAAGCAGCTAAGCCCATGGACCACATCTATTGAACCAGTGCTCTGGAGCCTGTGAGCCGCAATTTCTGAGCCCACATACTGCAGTTACTGAAGCCCAAACATTCTAGAGCCTGTGCTCTGCAACAAGAGAAGCCACAGCAATAAGAAGTTCGTTTGCCACAGCCAGAGAAAAGCTTGTGCATCAACAAAAACCTAGCACAGCCAAATAAAATTATTTTTGAAAAAGTATACCACTGATGACTCTAAAGACATGTCTATATTAATTAAACTAACAAGCTTAAGCTAGCTAGCTTCAATACTAGATATTCAGTAAGTACTGAGTATTTCTCAGGCCACATGAACTTGAAATTTATTCAAGCCAGCCTTTTATATTTCTGAGAATTTACACAAAAGTTAAATTTCTTTTATACCAATTAAACATTTCTTTTAAACCAATTCATCCATGAACCCATCTTGGCAATGCCATTTGGAGGCAGAGACACTTTAAAAAGTACGCATACACATACATTTATCTATATAGAGAAAGAGATCTCAGTTTTCCTGCTAAAATGTAAAAAGACCTTTTTGAATGAAATGATGCCACCTGCAGCAATATGGATGGACCTAGTGATCATCATACTAGGTGAAATAAGTCACAGAAAGACAAATATCATATGATATCACTTTTAAGTGGAATCCATAAAAATGATACAAGTGAACTTATTTATAAAACAAAGAGACTCTCAGACATAGAAAACAAATTTATAGTAACCAAAGGTGAAAGGGAAGGTGGGATATATTAGGAGTTTGGGATAAAGTAGATGAACAACAAGGTCCTACTTCATAGCACAAGGAACTATATTCAATATCTTGTAAATAAACTAATGAAAAAGAACCTGAAAAAGAATAGATTTATGTATACCTCAATCAGTTTGCTATACACCTGAAACTAATACATTGTAAATCAACTATACATCAATTAAAACAATAAAAGATAAAAATAATTCTTAAAATTAAAAGTCCTCTTTTTTTCTCTTCACTCTGGGATCACAGATGATTACAGTTC